TACGATTTAGAAAACTTACAGCCACCCCTCTGCTTCATTTATTTTATTTTATTCAGTTCTAGACGCTTTATTAGTTTAGACCTTTTTTTTTTTTTTCTCTACCTTTTGTCAGCCATACTCAGCTAGCGATTATTATAGAGAGTTAGAAATCGATTTTGAGTGAGATTGGGAAACGGGAGTAGCGATACATAACAGGGATATTGGGCTCTACTTTTCATTTAACCCTGTCCTTTTCCCTTCTTACTTGTGCCAGCAATATATATAGGCACCATTTCATGATATTTATTATTTTCCTTTGTCTCTCTCTTGTCGCTGAATCTATTTAGCTTTGGTTGTAGCGATTGCGCTAATTAGACATTTTGTGACTGTGTTACTATTTTTAATTACCTATTAAAAGTTATATTTTATTTATTCAATATGGATTGCTAACTATGTACCAGTAGACTGTGGGCATAAAGTTTATGTTTCCCACAGTTTTACCTGTACCCCTTTTTTTCTCTACTAATTATAGAGAGATAATGGTCTGGACATTTTGCAATAAACTGCAACACCAAATGTTTGGGAGCCCTGAGATAGAATTATATTTCTTATTAAAGACAAGCTTTCTGCAAAGAAAAACAAAGCCCCATTGATCAGACAATTTCATTGTTAACCAACCTTTATCGGCCATGATGTTATCGGCCATGATGTTATCGGCCAAAATTAGGGTTAGGATTAAACACACAGTATTCCACACAGGGTTAGGATTAAACACACAGCTTTACCTGGGTGGCCGCCATTTTGTGTAACCGAATACACGTGGTTGACAAAAAAATTGGCAGCCATTTTGTCTCCCGAACGTGGGCAGCGGTACTTGGTCGTCGAGTGCCTAGGACCCTTTTCGGATAGGCACTCGCACGAACCCCAGTAAAGACTATGCTTCCCGACCAACTATGTTAACGACATTCGGAGATGGGAACTACCGTCTAGGAGGAGCGTTCACTCCCTGAAATCAGGAGAATCCCTTGTATGGTGTTTGCATAGGAAAACCCTGAACAGAGACTGGCCGGGGCACCTATTTCCCTGGAACTATTTTGGGCCATCACCTCATGGCCTGTCGGTCAAAGCTGGTGGCCAGGGCCGGACTGGGAAAAAAATTCAGCCCAGGCATTTAAAGGCAAATCTGCCCAGTAGGATGGGATGGGGACAGAGAGGGGGCATGTCATATCATCAGCAATGACACACTCCACCTCAAATTGAGTATTTTAGTTTGCTGAAAAGCTCACGCATGAGATCAATGACCTGTGATTATTTTACACAGCACAGCTCTGCGTTTGCTGGTGACTTGTCTCTGGTGTCCCTAAAAGAGGACAAAAGTGGGGCATGGCTAGTAAAGCGTTTTGTGTATGTGTGGGAAAGCTCTCTGTGGTGCTGAATGTAGTTGGAGGCTAATTGTAGGATTGCGTGTGCGTAGACGCGACTGTTTGTGGTGTTGTGTGTATAAAGGAGTCTGTGGTGTACTATTTGTGGCTGGGTGCTGTAGTGTGTATGTATTTCCACTGGGTGTGCATCTAGTGTGTGCATCTAGGGGCTGTAGAGATTGTGTGTGTGTGTGCGCGTCTGTCTGTCTAGCGTTTGTAGAGGGAGAGCAAGAAAGCGTGTGTGTATTTATCTATGGGGTGTAGTGTTTCTTGGGATTGTATTTATCGTGTATATTTTCCTGTAGCTGAGAGATAATTGAGTTATAGTTTTCTCACTCAATTATCTCTCAGACGCAGAGGCTCTTGGGAGGAAAACCCCTGTAATTTTGTCTTGGAGACCCCATGCTAGGGGTCAGTGCATAAAAGCCATGTGTGGCCAAGTAAAAATCAGTTGACTCCCAGTATTATGTCTCGTCTGGTAACTGGGGGGAATGGATGCTTGAGTATTTAATGGTTCCAGTCTGGCTGGAGGAATTAGCGGAGGTAACCAGTCGGGCTACCCGGGGTCCGCTACAATGGTATTCAGACTTTAGGACGCCATCTTGTGCTAGGTTAGTGGAATTCCCCAAGTCATGTCCAACCTTAAGTTTTACTCCAAACATAGATAAGATGTTCTCATGAGAAATGACCAAGTTAAGGCCTAGTATCTTTGCCAAATTAAGATAGGTCCTAACATGACCTAATTGAAAATTAAGGTATAAATAAATATTCAACACAGAGGTTATGAGCTGAAATTGAAATGGCAGCATTTGTCTTTTATGGAACGTAGCACCCCCGTAGCAATCTGGGGCGGAACAGGATATGATATGTCTGAGTTCCCAACTCCACGAGCACACATTATTCATTACAGGAAATAATGAACAGATTGCGTCACTATCTGTATTTTACGGGGTTAGAAAATGTCATCTGCCCATAAGAGGCATAAGAGTAACATATATTATATTTTAGAATATCTGTAGGTTTCCACACATTTTGTGGATGACAGATCATCTTAAAGATGTTTATAAGTATATCTGCAGTCACGCCAACCGTCATGCTATTTCCCAAAATGCCAAAATTTAGACCAAAATAGCCAAACAGGGAAGTCACAGAGTTATAGATATTATTTGTAATAACTGTAATTAAATGCTCCCACAATCTTTATAAAATCATCCCACCACTGAGTCACCGAACAAATGGAGCCATTAATTTTGTACTCACCTGCATAGCTGTTATCGATACCAGAGACACTGATAGCCTAAAACAGACATAACGAAGATCAAAAAATGCTTACAGAGACAACCACCAATAACATTCAATAAATATTAAATAAGGTTTTATTGAGTGAATTTTGGGGTAAAAGTAAGTAAAACATTTCCATTATTTTCACTTTCTCCCTTTCCCCTTTTCGTTTTTCCATTTATCCCCGGACAATGAGGTATGATCCATGATCGTGGGTTCGACTTAATCTAGTGTTTACATATACTGCTTTCCTGTGACTGGAATGTTGTGCTCTCTGGTTGACAGTCTAAGTGTTGTTTCAATCAATCCACATTTGTATTATGCTGTCTCAGTCTATTTCATACCTTTTGTGGATTCCAATGAAGTATTTGTTAAAGAGCTGACTATCTGGAGACCCAGTTTGCTCCCTCTATAACAAACTGCTTCTATACCATGTGAGTGCACTCAGATACAATATTTCTTTAAAATGTTACCAAGGATCCTACTATTTTATTTACCTATTTAATCCATTTTACCAAAACGATCCGCAGAAGCGGGGAGGGGTGGTGGTACTTTATAAGACACCAACTGCTGTTCTTTTTTAGACATAAATAATTGGCTCTACATAATGAGAGTTAGCGTTTATTGGTTTATTTTCACATTTTTATAATCACAATACACACTTGGTTTTATTATCTATGTTTCTTTATTTTGGGTTATGTAACCAAGGAAAGTATCCATTTTAAGAAAATGTGTTGTAAGTAAAGAACAAAAGAATTCAATTTTGAATATCACACATACCACTTTTTTTTGTTTTTTGTACATATTTGGCGTTTACTCTTTTTAAGCACCAATTATTGCTTGTGGTGGATATTAACAAGATAGATCTGTGTCAGCATGGTGTCAGCAACAGCTCTGTGCTTCTATTTAGAATAACCCCAGGACCGCTCAAACACGCACAATTTCTCCCGAAGTAGTTCAAAACAAGCTGCTATCTACAGTAACGAGGGCCGTTATTTCAAAAACATGTCAGACTAGTGGGTCATTCGTAACCTGATAGGAAATTTATATTCCTTCTTCTACGTGGACTGACCGGAAAGTTAGACAATAATAAACCGGATCAAGTATCAACAAGCAGATATGTAAAAAAAAAAAGTTACCTGTACTATACGAAACAGGTCCCATTTGCCTCCTCCTTAGTCAACATAGAGAGACTATTAATCTTGATATTTTGTCCTCATCCATGTTTCCACTCATCCTCGGTCTTCCTTGGCTCCACACCCACAATCTGGTGATAGACTGGCTCAAGAGCACTTTAACTTTTCCCTCTACCTTTTGCACCACCACTTGCTTGAACAACACAGACATGCACCTGCTCACTATAACTACTGACCCTCCAGTCACACTGCCAGACAAAGACAAGAGTACATTTCTGAGAACCTGGCCAAAGGATTTATTAGATCTTCATCATCCCCAACAGGAGCAGGAATTTTCTTGTGTATATCTAAGGATTCAACGCTGTTTATCTTCAGCTTACCACCCACGAACCAATGGCCAAACAGAACGCACCAACCAAACCTTAGAACAGTATCTCTGCTGTTTCAACACGTATCTCTTTACTTCCCACCGCAGAATTCTCCTACAACAATCACATACATCAGTCCATTAAGATGACAAAGTTTTTTGCTAACTATGGTCTCCATCCTTGTGCCTTCCCTGAACTCCCTTGCCCTAACACAGTGCCCGATGTAGCCTCACGTCTCAACAAACTCAGACAACAAAGACATGTGTTGCAACAAACCCTTAAAGTAGCACAACAATGCTACAAAGGATATGCAGACAAAAGAAGGTCCCCAGCACCTACCTATGTGCCAGGGGACAAAGTCTGGCTATCCACACAACATATGCGTTTGTCCTGTCCTTCATGGAAACTAGGGTCACGCTACATTGGTCCCTTCACTGTAACCGAGGTCATATCTCCTGTAGCTGTCCATCTCGATCCTCCCTCTATCTATCGGTTACATCTCTAATGAATATGAGGTTCAGGAGATCCTTGACTCTAGACGTCGTAGGGGTGTCTTAGGATATCTCATTCACTGGAAGGGTTATGGCCCAGAGGAACGATCTTGGGAACCAGCCAGGAGTGTCCACGCACCTGCTAAGATTAGGGCCTTCCACATCCTGGTCGACCAACCCTATTTCACGCCCTGAGGTCGCGTCTAGGGAGGGGGCTCTGTCATGACACAGCTAGGTACTCACCTTCCCCTGGTTGCCCAAGCCGCCCTCGCGGCTGAATCGCAGTTCTCACTGCTGCTGAGAGCTCCTCTTCTGGGTCTGCGGCGGTTCCTTCTATCCTTCCCCCCCGCCAAGGTCCATGGCGAGCATACTGTCAAGGCAAGATGGCGCCCGCCATGCAGACCCGGCGTTCTGCACAGGGAGCAGGAGAGTTGCAGATCTATTGGGGAGGAACAGGTCAGGGACCAGGGAATAAAACAAGATGGCGCCGAGTCCCTAACCTCTTTATATAACATCTGTGTGCCCCACCTACTGGTGGGAGGTGGCCGGTCATGTGATTCCAGCTACCGATTTAAACCCAGCACACCTTCCAGTCAGTGCTTGGTTATTTTGCTTTTTGCTTTATACCTGCCTTTTGTCCTAATCTCCAGCTTCTATTCCTGGTTCCTGCTTCCTGCTTCCTGATTCCTTGGACAACTGCTACAGCCTGCTTCCTGAACTAGACCCAGATTAATCATTTACTTCTTGTAACGGACCGTTTTGCACAAAAGGGGAAAAAACCGCTTAGACGATAATCCCCTTTTTAGAGACAGGCACAGCTACTGTAGAATCACCAAAACTCACGAACTGGATACAAAATAGCACTCCAACTCCCGAACTGGAACCTCCCAAATAGCTGCTAGCAGACGAACAGGAAAAGCAGACAATCAGCTTACACTCCTGGCAATCAGTCTCTAACAGCATACAGTGAATCCCCCCAAGAACGAGACAAGGCTCCGTGTTGAGGGTCAAGCAGTGGTCTGAGGTGCTGGCACACCCAGCCTGGTTTTTATTACAGTGTTTCAAATACAGGACCACCCACAGGGAGGGATAAAACAACCAATCATATCACAGTTACATCCCACATATTCCCTCCCCTTATCCTGAGAGGAAACTCAATTATACAAACAGTTAAAACATACTTTCTACCCAACTTTCATAACTCCAAAACCATACATCACATTCACATAAAATTACATATTCTCAATCAATCCATTCAGGGGAACAACATATTCAAAAATGGCACAAATCAGACAAGGGGTTCAAAAGTTAGTAAAAAGTCCTTTGTGACTAAATGAAGCATGGCTTTCTGGCCCAAACCAGTTTCAGAGTCTTCTATCCTGGAGAGTAATTCAATTATCTCCCAGGACAGACACAAGACTCCATTAAGCACATGGTTGCAAAAAGACACAAAGACAGTAAAACACTTTAAAATACATAAAATTACATACTGACACATTTAGTACATAAAACACACATTTCTACATATCCCCAGATAGCTTGGATCTGACTGCACATTATTAGATGAATGGCACTCAGATCACACGAATAAGCCTTTCTGCAGGGAAAATAAACAGTTTAACCTGCAGGGCCATAGTCCAAAGGCAAGAGGCGGGCAAGCAGCCCCCTCCAAGGACACGTGGCGAGGTCGGTTTTGCCACACTTCTCCCCTTTGCCCCCCAGACTAACAGGGTATCTGACCTCCTGCCGGTCAGTGCCCTGGTTAGTCCAGCAACCCACCCACGAAGCACAAACAGCAGTACAGCCCACCCACAATAAATGTTTACTCCACCTGGATAAAGTAGCAACTTGTCCATGTCCAGGTGCCTCACCACGGCTGTGTGGGGAGCTGGTAGACTGCCTTGGTGGGTTGCTGAGTGGGCAGAGACCAGCGGTACTCTGCCCTGGTGCCAGCGCTACCACCGAAGTAGCCTGATTGGAGCCTGGTTGTGGGAGGGGGAGACCGACCGTCTCCCCTCTGGGTACACAGCTCTGGGGCTGGGGAACAGGACCGACCGTCTCTACCCCTTGGGCTGTAAGCGCAGAGACTACGGTCCCATCTGCACAGTTGCGGGGCTCAACATCTCCCCTTGGTGGGTTAGGCTGCCGCTGGAGAGAGGGTGTAACAAGCTCCTCTCTCTGGACTGTCAACTGCCGCTGGGGAGAGGGGTTAACAGGCTCCTCTCCCTGACACTCTCTCTGCTGGTGGAGAGGCGGACCAGCTGTCTCCCCTTTCATTATTTTGTCCTGCTGCTGGGGTGTGAGACTGACGGTCTCTGCTCCCTGCAGGACACACTGCCGCTGGGGAGGAAGGACGACACCTTCAGCTCCCTGGGGTACACACTGTCGCTGGAGAGGAAGGATTGCACCCTCAGCTCCCTGGGGTACACACTGCCGCTGGGGAGGAAGGACGACACCTTCGGCTCCCTGGGTTACACACTGCTGCTGGGGAGGACGGACGACACCATCAGCTCCCTGGGGTACGCACTGCCGCTGGGGAGGAAGGACGGCACCTTCCGCTGGGGCAGCCTGTAGAAAGTCAGGCTCAGGGGAAGGAAACAAGGGAGGACAGAGGCCAGCGGCGCTCTGCCCAGTTGCCAGCTCTTCTGCTGGGGGTCAGGGAACAAAGGAGTTGGCTGGGGAGGAGAAATATCACTTACCTCCCCCTGGTACTCCGGCTGCTGCTGGGGGGGGAGGTCGATGCTCTCCACTTTCTGTAACTCCAGCTCTAGTTGGGGATCTGGGCCGGTTGCCCAGCATCCCTGTAGGGCCGGTGGAGAGATCTCGGTCCCATCTCCACCTGCCTGCAGGGGGTCCTCCCAGGACCAGTCTATGAGGTCCTCTACCTCGGGTACCTCTGGTTGCTGTTGGGGAGGGAGACCGGTTGTCTCTTCCTCCAATAACACATTCTGCCGCTGGGGAGTGAGACCGACTGTCTCCCCTCCCTGTAAAACATACTGCCGCTGGGGATCTGGGCCGGGTGCCCAGCATCCTTGTAGGGCCGGTAGAGAGACCTCGGTCCCATCTCCACCGGCCACCTCGGTTTCTTCCTCGTCCCACTCTACCTGTGGCTGGAGTTTCTCCCAACGTGCCCACTGGCCTTCCCTCAACGCCCTGTGTTGTAGGTTCCGGGTCACCATGTCCCACACGAACCGCACGTATTTCTCCTCTGGATTGGGTCCGTAAAACTTCAGGTGCAACCCTACCATCGTGCCAAACTCTAGTACGGAGTAGCTATACGCCATGCTTGCTGTAGCCACTGCTGGTTCCATTATGTTGCTGAAGATAAGGACGCTGCACAACTCCACACGTTACCGGTGTCTCCGAGCTGCTTCTCCTCGCACTAGGATGCCATCCCGCCGCTTGCCACCAATTGTAACGGACCGTTTTGCACAAAAGGGGAAAAAACCGCTTAGACGATAATCCCCTTTTTAGAGACAGGCACAGCTACTGTAGAATCACCAAAACTCACGAACTGGATACAAAATAGCACTCCAACTCCCGAACTGGAACCTCCCAAATAGCTGCTAGCAGACGAACAGGAAAAGCAGACAATCAGCTTACACTCCTGGCAATCAGTCTCTAACAGCATACAGTGAATCCCCCCAAGAACGAGACAAGGCTCCGTGTTGAGGGTCAAGCAGTGGTCTGAGGTGCTGGCACACCCAGCCTGGTTTTTATTACAGTGTTTCAAATACAGGACCACCCACAGGGAGGGATAAAACAACCAATCATATCACAGTTACATCCCACATATTCCCTCCCCTTATCCTGAGAGGAAACTCAATTATACAAACAGTTAAAACATACTTTCTACCCAACTTTCATAACTCCAAATCCATACATCACATTCACATACAATTACATATTCTCAATCAATCCATTCAGGGGAACAACATATTCAAGAATGGCACAAATCAGACAAGGGGTTCAAAAGTTAGTAAAAAGTCCTTTGTGACTAAATGAAGCATGGCTTTCTGGCCCAAACCAGTTTCAGAGTCTTCTATCCTGGAGATAAGTAATTCAATTATCTCCCAGGACAGACACAAGACTCCATTAAGCACATGGTTGCAAAAAGACACAAAGACAGTAAAACACTTTAAAATACATAAAGTTACATTTTACACATAACACACAGACATTTCACATATCCCCAGATAGCTCAGGTCTGAGCGCACATTATTAAGTGAATGGCGCTCGGACCACACAAATACAGTTTAATCGCCATGGAGCCAAAGTCTTTACAGTCAGTTTCATACGAATGGGCTCCATGGGATTCCTATCTGGGGTATAACACATTCAAACAAATCTACTGAACCCCAGGCAGAAAAGCACGAATACAGCTTTTCAGCAGGCAAAAATAAAAGTCTTTTAAAAGGGGGCCATAGTCCAAAGGCAGCAGGCGAGCAACCAGGCTTCTCCAATGCAATGTGGCGAGATTGGTCTCGTCACACTTCTGTCTGCTGCAAGACTGCATTTTCGTTTGCTTTTCCTGCTGCTGCCTTCTGGAAATTTATTATTTTTTATTTAAGGCCTCCACGCCACCACAGACCCTTTGGGACCCTGTCTCCACTTCCAGGTGCTCCTAAGGGTCATGATAGTAAGGGAGTGCTGTTCCGCTGCAAATTGGGTTCCTTCCGCTCCACGACTCTCCAAGTGGGTGTGACAGTACGTTTGCATTTGTTCTAATCAATTTACAGTGTTATACAATCTGCACTATATTCTACATTTTCTCTATCTGTTTCAGTGGGCAAAAAGATTATTGGTGAAGATCATCACCACCGCATATTTCCAGCTACAAACCGTTTATTAAGGGAGGCATGCCAGCAATTATAGACCTCTAGTGGGTTCTCTATTAACCCCATCTCCCCATTTCTGTGTATCTTTTGTATTGTACTATATATTTTTTATTTTTCCAGAATATTACACTATATTTTGATCTTCCTATACACCCAACCCAGGTTGTATTTTTTATGTAATTTACACTGGGGTGTTACCTTATTTTATTTCCCTTTATTGGTTTTCTTATTTGACTATTATAATGTAGTATTAGGAGTCTTAAAACGTGATATTAGTCTTAGTACATGGTATTATTAGTCTTAGAATGTGTTATTACTAGCCTCAGACTGTGTTATTACTAGCCTCAGACTGTGTTATTACTAGCTTCAGAATGCGTTATTACTAGCCTCAGACTGTGTTACTACTAGCCTCAGAATGAGTTATTACTAGCCTCAGACTGTGTTATTACTAGCCTCAGAACGCGTTATTACTAGCCTCAGACTGTGTTACTACTAGCCTCAGAATGAGTTATTACTAGCCTCAGACTGTGTTATTACTAGCCTCAGAATGCGTTATTACTAGCCTCAGAATGCGTTATTACTAGCCTCAGAATGTGTTATTACTAGCCTCAGAATGTGTTATTACTAGCCTCAGAATGCGTTATTACTAGCCTCAGAATGCATTATTACTAGCCTCAGAATGCGTTATTACTAGCCTCAGACTGTGTTATTACTAGCCTCAGAATGCGTTATTACTAGCCTCAGACTGTGTTATTACTAGCCTCAGACTGTGTTATTACTAGCCTCAGAATGTGTTATTACTAGCCTCAGACTGTGTTATTACTAGCCTCAGAATATGTTATTACTAAACTCAGACTGCGTTATTACTAGCCTCAGAATGTGTTATTACTAGCCTCAGAATGTGTTATTACTAGCCTCAGAATGTGTTATTACTAGCCTCAGAATGCATTATTACTAGCCTCAGAACGCGTTATTACTAGCCTCAGACTGTGTTATTACTAGCCTCAGACTGTGTTATTACTAGCCTCAGAATGTGTTATTACTAGCCTCAGAATGCATTATTACTAGCCTCAGAACGCGTTATTACTAGCCTCAGACTGTGTTATTACTAGCCTCAGAATGTGTTATTACTAGCCTCAGACTGTGTTATTACTAGCCTCAGAATGTGTTATTACTAGCCTCAGAATGTGTTATTACTAGCCTCAGACTGTGTTATTACTAGCCTCAGAATGTGTTATTACTAGCCTCAGACTGTGTTATTACTAGCCTCAGAATGCGTTATTACCAGCCTCAGAATGTGTTATTACTAGCCTCAGACTGCGTTATTACTAGCCTCAGAATGCGTTATTACTAGCCTCAGAATGTGTTATTACTAGCCTCAGACTGTGTTATTACTAGCCTCAGACTGTGTTATTACTAGCCTCAGAACGCGTTATTACTAGCCTCAGAACGCGTTATTACTAGCCTCAGAATGTGTTATTACTAGCCTCAGAACGCGTTATTACTAGCCTCAGAATGCGTTACTACTAGCCTCAGAACGCGTTATTACTAGCCTCAGAACGCGTTATTACTAGCCTCAGAACGCGTTATTACTAGCCTCAGAATGCGTTATTACTAGCCTCAGAATGCGTTATTACCAGCCTCAGAATGCGTTATTACTAGCCTCAGAATGTGTTATTACTAGCCTCAGAACGCGTTATTACTAGCCTCAGAATGTGTTATTACTAGCCTCAGAATGTGTTATTACTAGCCTCAGAACGCGTTATTACTAGCCTCAGAACGCGTTATTACTAGCCTCAGAATGTGTTATTACTAGCCTCAGAACGCGTTATTACTAGCCTCAGAATGCGTTATTACTAGCCTCAGACTGTGTTATTACTAGCCTCAGAATGCGTTATTACTAGCCTCAGAATGCGTTATTACTAGCCTCAGAATGCGTTATTACTAGCCTCAGAATGTGTTATTACTAGCCTCAGACTGTGTTATTACTAGCCTCAGAATGTGTTATTACTAGCCTCAGACTGTGTTATTACTAGCCTCAGACTGTGTTATTACTAGCCTCAGACTGTGTTATTACTAGCCTCAGAATGTGTTATTACTAGCCTCAGAATCTGTTATTACTAGCCTCAGACTGTGTTATTACTAGCCTCAGAATGTGTTATTACTAGCCTCAGAATGCGTTATTACTAGCCTCAGAATGCGTTATTACTAGCCTCAGAATGTGTTATTACTAGCCTCAGACTGTGTTATTACTAGCCTCAGAATGTGTTATTACTAGCCTCAGACTGTGTTATTACTAGCCTCAGACTGTGTTATTACTAGCCTCAGACTGTGTTATTACTAGCCTCAGAATGTGTTATTACTAGCCTCAGAATCTGTTATTACTAGCCTCAGACTGTGTTATTACTAGCCTCAGAATATGTTATTACTAGCCTCAGACTGCGTTATTACTAGCCTCAGAATGCGTTATTACTAGCCTCAGAATGCGTTATTACCAGCCTCAGAATGTGTTATTACTAGCCTCAGAATGTGTTATTACTAGCCTCAGAATGCGTTATTACTAGCCTCAGACTGTGTTATTACTAGCCTCAGACTGTGTTATTACTAGCCTCAGACTGTGTTATTACTAGCCTCAGACTGTGTTATTACTAGCCTCAGAATATGTTATTACTAGCCTCAGACTGTGTTATTACTAGCCTCAGACTGTGTTATTACTAGCCTCAGACTGTGTTGATTACTAGCCTAAGGTTATTACTAGCCTCAGACTGCTGCGTTATTACTAGCCTCAGAATGCGTTACACTAGCCTCAGAATGCGTTATTACCAGCCTCAGAATGTGTTATTACTAGCCTCAGAATGTGTTATTACTAGCCTCAGAATGCGTTATTACTAGCCTCAGACTGTGTTATTACTAGCCTCAGACTGTGTTATTACTAGCCTCAGACTGTGTTATTACTAGCCTCAGACTGTGTTATTACTAGCCTCAGAATATGTTATTACTAGCCTCAGACTGTGTTATTACTAGCCTCAGACTGTGTTATTACTAGCCTCAGAATGTGTTATTACTAGCCTCAGACTGTGTTATTACTAGCCTCAGAATGCGTTATTACTAGCCTCAGAATGCGTTATTACTAGCCTCAGAATGCGTTATTACTAGCCTCAGACTGTGTTATTACTAGCCTCAGACTGTGTTATTACTAGCCTCAGAATGCGTTATTACTAGCCTCAAAATGCGTTATTACTAGCCTCAGAATGCGTTATTACTAGCCTCAGAATGCGTTATTACTAGCCTCAGACTGTATTACTAGCCTCAGAATGTGTTATTACTAGCCTCAGACTGTTATTACTAGCCTCAGACTGTGTTATTACTAGCCTCAGAATGTGTTATTACTAGCCTCAGACTGTGTTATTACTAGCCTCAGAACGCGTTATTACTAGCCTCAGAACGCGTTATTACTAGCCTCAGACTGTGTTATTACTAGCCTCAGAATGCGTTATTACTAGCCTCAGACTGTGTTATTACTAGCCTCAGAATGTGTTATTACTAGCCTCAGAATGCGTTATTACTAGCCTCAGAATGCGTTATTACTAGCCTCAGACTGTGTTATTACTAGCCTCAGAATGCGTTATTACTAGCCTCAGAATGCGTTATTACTAGCCTCAGAACGCGTTATTACTAGCCTCAGATTGTGTTATTACTAGCCTCAGAATGTGTTATTACTAGCCTCAGAATGCGTTATTACTAGCCTCAGAATGTGTTATTACTAGCCTCAGACTGTGTTATTACTAGCCTCAGACTGTTATTACTAGCCTCAGACTGTGTTATTACTAGCCTCAGAATGTGTTATTACTAGCCTCAGACTGTGTTATTACTAGCCTCAGACTGTGTTATTACTAGCCTCAGACTGTTATTACTAGCCTCAGAATGTGTTATTACTAGCCTCAGACTGTGTTATTACTAGCCTCAGAACGCGTTATTACTAGCCTCAGACTGTGTTATTACTAGCCTCAGACTGTGTTATTACTAGCCTCAGAATGCGTTATTACTAGCCTCAGAATGCGTTATTACTAGCCTCAGAATGTGTTATTACTAGCCTCAGACTGTGTTATTACTAGCCTCAGAATGCTGTATTAGTCATAGAGTTTGGTAGAACAGAACGTTTTAGTATTAGTCTTAGAACTCTTGTATTATTAGTTTTAGAATGTGATATTATTGGTCTTTGAATGTGGTAGTATTAGTCTTAGAACTTGATACTATATGTATTAGAACACAGTATTATTAATCATAGAATGTGGTTTCATTAGTCTTAGAACATGTTATTATGAGTCTTACTACATGGTATTAGTCTTAGAATGTGGTATTATTAAGCTGAGAATGTGGGATTACTAATTTTAGAACATAGTATTATGAGCCTTAGAATGTGGTATAATGAGTCTAAGAATGTGTTCTTATTAGTCTGAGAATGTTCATTAGTCTTAGAACATAGTATTAGGAGTCCTGAAATATGTTATTAGTCCTAGTACATGGTATTATTAGTCCTAGAGTGTTATATTATTTGTCTTAGAATGTAGTATTAGTCTTAGAAAGTGTTATGATAACTCTTAGAATGCGGTATTATTACTCTTAGAATGCTGTATCATTAGTCTTAGAACGTGGTATTATTAGCACCAGGAAGCTACATGTTGTATGATTTACTTGTACAGGTGAATAGATGTGCTGGCCTTTGTTTACCTTGAGTTGGAATGATGGCTTTGGAGTAACTTGCAAGTTGTTTTTTGGAAGATGAATTTCCTCATTCCGGATTTCAGATCCTTGAGCTGTCTGTGGTCTTCTAGGCTGGACTGTAGGTCCTTGTGCTGTTAGTTGGCTCTTGGGTATGACCTCTTCCTTGCCATGGGGCACAGATAGTGGCTCATACTGGGAAGATGATGTGACAAAGTAGAATAATGAGAGGTGTATGAGACTCTGCACAGATGTCATATTTTACCCAAATAGACTCTGTCCTCCAGTCTTGAGTACCAATCACTCTATAGCTTTGATTGAAGATAGAGATAGAGTCCAATAACTCTCTGCCTTTATGTAAGCATCCTCAGAGTACCAATCCTCAGAAACACTCTGCCTTAAAAATGAAAATATAAAGATGTTTTGTGGGTGATGCACAAACAATGTTAGTAAAAATACAGAACCCACAAGAATATATAAAGTTCTTAGTCTAGAGAACATAAGTCATAAAATGGACCAAAATAAACTAGATGTCATAGAGATAACCGAAAGAAAACAGACGTCATAGAGAGGACCCAAAGAATACTGATATCATAGAGATAACAGAAAGAAAACAGATATCATAGAGAGGACCCAGAGAATACTGATATCATAGAGATAACAGAAAGAAAACAGATATCATAGAGAGGACCCAGAGAATACTGATATCATAGCGATAACAGAAAGAAAACAGATATCATAGGGAGGACCCAAAGAATACTGATATCATAGAGATGACCGAAAGAAAACAGATATCCTAGAGAGGACCCAAAGAATACTGATATCATAGAGATAACAGAAAGAAAACAGATATCATAGAGAGGACCCAAAGAAAACAGATATCATAGAGATAACCGAAAGAAAACAGATATCATAGGGAGGACCCAAAGAATACTGGTATCATAGAGATAACAGAAAGAAAACAGATATAAAGAGGATCCAAATAATACTGATATCATAGAGATGACCGAAAGAAAACAGATATCATAAAGAGGACCCAAATAATACGGATATCATAGAGATAACAGAAAGAAAACAGATATCCTAGAGAGGACCCAAAGAATACTGATATCATAGAGATAACAGAAAGAAAACAGATATCATAGAGAGGACACAAAGAATACTGATATCATAGAGATAACAGAAAGAAAACAGATATCATAGAGATAACAGAAAGAAAACAGATATAGAGATGACCAAGCGATAACATATCATAGAGAGGACCCAAAGAATACTGATATAGAGAGGGCCTAAAAAAACATAGATTATGGAAAGAATCTAAAGATAATATAACAGATATCAGAGAAAGTTCCTGAAAAATGATGGAGAGGACCCATAGAAAATAGATATCATATAAAGAACCGTGGTATAATCGAAACCATAAAGAGAACCAAATATAATAGAAATCTTAGAGAGGACATAATGATAACATAAATTATAGAGAGGACCCAAAGAAAACAAAAATCATAGAGAGGACCATGAAATAGTTCAAGAATCGCTCAGTGAGAAGAGACACCCCAAGGAGGAACAGATAAAATTACAGAGAGTACTCATAGACATAAACTGGAACTTTCACAGAGAACTTACTGGTGGATCTGATCGATTGTGAGGGACAAAAAATAGGAGAGTCCTGGAGAAGTGAAATCAGAGCCCATACAATATATCACATCAATATTACCTTGATCCCCTGTGTCCCAAATGTACAAACCGACTGAAAGATGTTCAGGAATTAGCTCAGTACGGAGCAGGAATCCCATAGGCTTCCTCTTCATTCAGACTTAAACGTTGTTCCCAGATCTCTTAATGTCTCAAACCCTCCCATGAGACACTAACCATTTGCAGCAGTTTGTAATTAAGGGGCTGGATACATTTTCCCAAGGACTGTCAGGAGGCAGACAAACCTTTAGGAAAATCAGGAATTGGGAGTCACTACAGATAACCCACATTGCTTGATAATGGCACAATTTGCACAATTTATTAAAAAAAATACACAAACAGGGATCAGTACGTACAAAAGTGTAGCTTGAAATCTTTCACACGAGCTTAAAGTCACATATCACAAATAAATTCAGGGAATGTTATCACATCGTATGGACATATTGTGCTAAACGTCCACTTTAACCCCTTAAGGACACATGACATGTGTGACATGTCATGATTCCCTTTTATTCCAGAAGTTTGGTCCTTAAGGGGTTAAGTTTCCTTTAAGACACACTAACTCTTTACCTGAGGCCATTGCAGCAGATCCTCGATTACATAATGTGTTTCCCACTGCTTGCTATTTTAGGATTATTTACTAGAGTGGGAATTCAAAGGGATTTAAAATTAAGTCAAACCTTCTCTAAGTCAACTCTGTTTTCACCCTGGTGGTAAATGTGAAATTCACTTTGAATTCTCACGTTAGTAAATAACCCTGTGAGTATAGCTGGAGTCCAGAGTGGGCACCCATCGCTCTACACACAGGGGTCATGGCAAGTGTCTGGAGAAGCCGAGAGCTTGGAGTTCCCTGTCTGTCTATTAATACTTATATATTCAATTCTGAAAAGAAATGTTTTTTGTAACATATAATCGTCCTAGAATGGAAATAAAATGCTTCACTTTCTATGTCTATGTTCTATTTTGATACAATGTTACACTAATTATTAACACGTCGCCATGTCTCCGCATGTTACTAGAATTCATTTATCGCATTGCGCACACCTTGCAACCATGAGTTTAATATTCATTTCATCAGACATGGCCCCCGACGTGCTCTGTATAATAACAGTATTCATTCGATAAAGTAAGAATCCAAACTGAATTTCAATCTAAGGCCAGACTAGCCGAACCGACGGCATAGCTGAATTGGAGAATGTTTCCACTTCTTATATTTTGACCTTAAATTTGAAATTGCCTTTGAATTGTCATTTTAGTGGATAGTCCTGACTGTAGCTCTAGTCTGAATCCCTGTATCCCAGAATACAACAATTACTGACATTAACCCCGTCACAGACTACAGGATCCACACCACCATAACAGGAGATACTGTACTCTGTCCTACCAGCACACCAGGGGTTAAAGCGGAATAGTTTGCATTGCTGTGGCTGTCTCAAACTATGTGAAGGAGGATGTGGATCTGAGTAAGGGAGGGGGTGTTAGTGAAGATTTAACGTTTGATGTGCAGCTCACCCTCCTCTATCTAGAAGTACCAGCTGTGCTCCCTCAGGGAAGGGAATTAGCATCCAGCAATGAATCTAACCCTAGCATTATCCCCTAAAATCCACTTTAACCCAATAAGGACCAGATGCAAGTCTTTGAAGAATTATTAGGGGATAATATTCAGGAATTCCATTTGAAACATGTTACTAAGATTCAGCGTGGATTTATGACGGACAGATGCTGTCAAACTAACCTGATTTCTTTCTATAAATACGTCAATAGAAGCATAGATCAGGGTGTGGCAATGGATTTAATCTGTTTGGATATGGTAAAGGCGTTTTATAGACAAATGAAAATCGGTTGGTTTAGAAAACAATCATGTTCTTGAATAGAGCACAGAGAGTATTAGTGATTAAAGTGTGGCGGTATGTGGAGTGCCTCAGGGTTCTGTCCTGGGACCACTTCTATTTAATCAGTTTCTAAGTAATCTTACCATGGGCATTGAAAGTCCTTTACTGATGTCATAAAACTAGGTAAGACAATACAGACTAAATATGATAAAAAAGAATACCAGAAAACAGAATATTCAGGATACGGCTAAGTGAATCTAAAAAAGAAACATAGACAAAAAAAATAGTGTGATACAGTATGCACAATAAATCATGCGCTATATAAGAATGCACTCACGAGATGATGTAACGTTAATCCCCTTCTCACTGCAGGATAACCAATGGTACACAGAACTTCAGATGGATTAGGGTAAAAAATCTGCTCTTTTATTATTTTAAAACGTGAATGATCACCAATCAGCATAGGATAAAAAAGAAAGCAGTAGTTCCTACGTGTTTCGTTCCGCAAGGGACTTCCTCGGGGACCGCAGTGACAATAAAATCAAAACACAGTATTTACACAGTGTAAAAAATAACATATCCTATTCCCCCCCATTATACAATCCCTTTAAATAGGACTAGACCCTGTGTCCATTGGTGAATCCTGTAGGTGGTTCCAACAATCAGTAGCCTCATTGGTGCAGAGATAGCTTCCGTCAGCTGTTCATATTCAGTGCAACTTCACTTCAATCAGAGGGAATTAGATAAATTGGGCAGGTAAGTGGCAGATTAGATTCAATGTAGATATATGAAAAGTTATGCGTTTCGTGATGAGGAACCCACAGACAACTTATAACCTCCATGGAGTTGAGATGGGGATAACGGAATAATTATAGACAACAATGTGCAATGCCAGTCATAGGTTGTAATGCCCCCAAGGCAATTCCTTGCATAAAAATGGATGTAATTTAATGTGATTAAACTATTATTTCGCCCTTTTATAAACCCATGGTAAAACCATATCTGGAAAATGTGCTGCAATTCTTGGAACTAATTTTAATAAAGGAAATTAAGGAATTAGAAAAAGTGCAAAGGCAGGTTATAACATTAATAAGGAGAGTGGAAAATATTATCTTCCAGAGGTCAAAGATTATTGAAGCAGCAGTATTGGGGCAAAATACTTAAATAGAATTCCGATGCTCACTTTGGATCTCTACTGATTTCCCCAGTATATTGAAAAAATTGTAACATTGTTTTATAAATCATAAATAAGTCTCTTGGCTCTTAAACATCAGTTCAAAGTTATTCAACCTATAACTGAAACACTTAGATAGTTGAAAGGAGTTAGATATAGACAAAGCCTCATTTCCTTTTGCTCTCACTAGATAGTCAGATGGATGAAAAGACAATGTTCAAATAAATATAATATATATTCATTAAGAATCATATTAAAGCTGCCATCTCAAAATCCACGTTGAGACCGCTGGGAGACAAGGTGTCCAAATTAAAGATCCACCTCATCTCACAGCGGCTCAACGTCGATTCTACATGACCACCCCTCCAATGGGGTTTGATATGTTGAATACCGTAAAAACTAAGCCCTGTGGGGTCTCCTCCATGATTTTTCAAGAAATGCAAGGAAACATTGTGTTTCAAAAAACCTTTTTTAATATTGTAAATATGTTCTCGTATTCTTGTTTTCAGTGTCCTTGATGTCTTTCCAACATACTGTAATCCACAAGGACATACGAGAACATATATTATATTTTTTGAATGGCACGTAATAAGGGAATCAATTTTATAATTATATGTTCCTACTCGTGATTTAAAACTATCTAATTTTTTGGGTTTATTCTTATAGATTTTACATCCCATACAGTTACCACAATAATGGAAACCTTTATTGTTATCCTTATAAGTGCTCAAGAAATTATTATTATTCTAAATATCTAAATAACTGGTTGTCAAGATTTGCCTAAGATTTTTTGCTCCCCTGAATAAAATTTTAGGTTTATTTTCAATATAAGGTAAAATATCTGTGTCCTGCTGTAAAATGTGCCAATTTTTATTGATCACTCTCTTAAGGGCTTTATGTTCTTTACTATAGTTAAAAATCATAGGAATTTTGTCATCCCTTTTTTTATCCCTAGATTTATATACTAAAAGAGATTCTCTATTTATTCCTTTTACAGTTCTAATTTCCTCTTCTAATTTATTGGAGTCATAACCCCTATCTATAAATTGTTCCTTAAGGATGTTGGCCTGATATTCAAAGGAATTTAGGTCTGTACAATTACGTCTTACCCGGATAAATTGTCCCTTAGGAATATTATCAAGCCAGGGTAAGAAATGACAGCTATTCATGTGGATATAACTATTAACGTCCACAGGTTTAAAGAACATACGAGTACTAATTTTTTGATCTTGTATGAATATGTCTAAATCTAAAAAGTGGATACAATCTTGTTTAATTTCTTGAGTTAGATGTATATTCCACTGGTTCGAATTTAAAAATGTAATAAAATCCAAAGCAGAGTCTTTATCACCTTTCCAAATCAGGAAAATATCGTCGATATATCTTTTGTATAGGACCAGGTTCGCACTCCAGTCATGCTTTGAATACACATATCTGTCTTCCCAATATGACATAAACAGATTCACATAACTGGGTGCAAACCTGGTCCCCATAGCTGTCCCCCTACATTGCAAAAAAAAAAGTCATCCTCAAACCAGAAGAAGTTGTTATGAAGGAAGAGATATCCCCTCCATAACAAAGTCCACCTGTTCAACAGGATACAATGTAGAGGATTCTAAGAAAATACGTGTAGCTAGACACCCTATCTCATGATCAATACATGTGTATAAACTAGTAACATCACATGTAATGAATAGATAGTCCTCTTTCCATATAAAAAATTTTAAAATCTGTAATAGACTCATGGAATCTTTTAAATAGGATGGACTCTTTTTTACTAATGGTTGAAGGTGTATGTCTACGTATTTTGATAAATTAGATAAGAGATCCAACCCCTGAGACAATGGGTCTACCTGGGGGGTTGGATACATCCTTATGTAATTTTGGTAAAATATATATATCACAGGGATATTAGGTGATTTAACATTTAAAAAGGTATATTCTTTTTGGTTTATAATACCTTTAGAGAAACCTTTCTCCAAATATTTCATTAATTTCTCGTTTATATCTGTTTGTGGATTTTTTTCTAATTTTTTGTAGGTATTACTATCCTCTAATTGTCGTTTAATCTCTGAGATATATTTATCTCTATCCATTAAAACCACACCTCGTCCCTTGTCTGCTGGCTTGATTACTATTTGGGAATCTTTCCCTAAATGTTGCATAGCCTGTCTCTCTTTTTTTGTCAAATTATCTCTCATTCTTTTTCATTTGTTTAATATCATTAACACATGCCCTTTCAAAAACTTTCATAGAATTAGATTTTAAATGTATAGGATAGAAAGATGACTGTGGTTTCAAATCCGTATGATTAAAACGGGACACATCTATATTAGTACTTTCATCTTTCAAAGGATTCCAATCAAAAATTTTTTTTAAACATAATCTCCTCATAAACCTGTTAATATCCGTATATGCCTCAAATTTGTCCATAATGCAACTAGGTGCAAACTTAAAACCTCTATTTAAAACATTTGTTTCATTTACATTAAGAACTTTTTTAGATAAATTAAAAATCCTTAGGGGGTTCCCTCCATCTCTTCTCTAAAAAAGGAGTCGCTCTATGATTGTCCAGATCTCTAATTGGTTCAAACCGATTAGATGTCTCGATTTCCCTCCTTAATCTCGGTGGTGGACTATTTTCCCTCCTATATCTCATCTTATATTTATGATGATTTCTTTTGACTTCAGTCCATTCCTGGGCTGAGTTATCATATCGTGATCGTCTTTCTAAAGTCTGATAGTGTATGATATTTTTGGTTTCATATTTATAATTAGTCACATTGGATCTGGACTTATTTTGTTGAAAATTAGTCCTAGGTTTTTTGCGAATATTATTTGTAGCATAGTCATTAGTATCCCTCTGGTATTTCTTTTTCTTTGAAGTGATAATAGAAGATTCTAATTTATCTAATCTTCCCATAATCGTATTTGAAATGGATTCAAAATCACCTGTACCAATAAACGGTTCTAGTTTTGTACGGATTTCACTAATAATCTTATCTCCCAGATATCTATAAATCTTTTATCATCTCTATAAAAAGTGGGATATTTAGTAAACCTGAGACCCCTAGGTGTTATTCGGTCACTTAGGTATTTATTCATTGTAAAAATTTCCCATTTAATTTTTAACTCTTTTGTAAGTAATTTTTCAAGTAGAGAACACATCTCATCAAGATTATCACTGATCTTATACTTTTCAGGTGTCTATCTCTACTTCATCAAAGATATTTTGTACATAATTCTGCATAGTGGCTCTTTTTTCAAATATAGCCATATTACAGCAGCCCACACCCAAGTGATTTCAACAACAAATATAAAAAAACAGCAAAAATTCCCCCAAGAAGGAATAAATATAGGTGGATTGGCGCTGTGCACAAAATAGCAACTACCCCCAGTGTCTAAAAATCACTCAAAGACACTACCAAACAGTGATAAAACAATATAGCAGAGTGGGGGGTGCAATATACAGAATAAAGAATACAGAATATAAATACTTAGTAGTAATTGTTGCTTGAGCTTAATCTGTAAGACATAAAAGTCCATACGTAGTGTAAAACTGTAAATAGTAGAAACGATAAAAGCAAAGGTGTTGGGTCACTCACAATAAATAGAGCCTAAAATAGCAGGCTCTAGCTTGATTGCATGTGGAAAATCAGCTTTTCCAATCTATTCAGGATGTCCCCACGATCTTCCTATGGATACTGGTGGCTGATTCCAGATGTAGGAAAGATAGATAATGGACCAGAATATTGAAACTTTAAAAAGTATTTACTTTAAATAAAATAACAATATAAATAAAAATGTAAAAGTAATACATAAAAGAAACCAACGCGTTTCGACAGTTCGTCTTTTTCAAGTGTAATGAAAATTTAACCTGAAATAAATTCTAGATGTGGACAAGCAGACTGAAGACAGCAACACGTCACATAAGCGATCTGAAATACCATGTCCCTGGAGGATCAACCTTGCAGAAGCCATGCCGTCAGGTGGAACATTGCCAGGGTTTCTAAGGGAAGAGTCACCCGCTCTATCATGTTGGTAGAGATTGGGAGAGTCCAACTTGAGATGGTCATGTTTTCCACTTCTGAAAACCAACTCCTGTTTGGCTAGAAGGGGAGGATGGCTAGAGCTCTTGCTTTTCCCATTTTATCTTCTGAATAATTCTGGGAATGAGGGCTATTGGAGGGAAAACAAAAGCCATTTTGAAATTCCAAGTCATCGATAGACTGTCTAAAATGTCAGGACAATCTCGTGCTTGGACAGAAGCAAAAACCTGAACTTTTCTGTTTCTCCTTGTGGCCATCAGGTCTATATCCGGCCGGCCGAAGCGGGTAACCAGCTCCAAGAAAACTTGGTTTGATAGTAACTAGTCCGCCTGAGACCAATGACTTCTGCTGAGGTCATCTGCAATTATGTTTAGAGATCCTCTGATATGTGTAGCCGCCATCGCGAGAAGTCTTGATTGTGCCAAAGACATGATGCGGTAGCAGAGATCTTGTAGAGCTTTCACTCTTGTGCCTCCTTGGCGATTTAAATAGGCCACTGTAGTGGCGTTGTCCGACTGAATCCTTACTGCTTGATTAGTGATCATTGAACTGAAGGACTTCAGTGCCTTCCAAACAGCTTTCAACTCTTTGAAGTTTGAGGAGGCGTTTGCCTCTTCCCTGTTCCAAACACCTTGATGGAACTGAGAACCTAGATGGGCGCACCAACCAGTCTGGGAAGCATCTGTAGTTAACGTAATCCACTGGTGTTGAGCAAACGAGAGCCCTTTCGAAATGTTTGTTTCTTTCCACCAGTTTAGTTTATTCCTCACCACTTCGGAAAGGTGAAAGACAGAATCTAGATCCTCCTGTCGCCCTGACCATTGAGAGAGAATGTCCCATTGTAATGGCTTTAATTCCGCCTTTGCCCAAGCCACTGCTGGGATTGCAGAAGTGAGGAGACCCAGTAAACTCATAGCCTCCCTGATGGAGTTTGAGTTTTTTTGCAAACTTGACACGGTTTTGAAAATCCTTTTTTGTTTCTCTATTGGAAGAAAAAATGACAGGGATTCCGATTCCACCTGAAGACCCAAACGTTCCAGGCTCAATGAAGGACTCAACTGGGATTTCTTTAGGTTCAGGAGCCATCCGTGCTCTTTCAACATCTTCATAGCGATCTCGAGATGAGATCTTAGAAGTTGTTCCGATTGGGCTTTTAAGAACCAGTTGTCCACATACGGATCTATCGAAATACCCCTCAGGCGCAAAGCAGCTACTATGGACACTAGGATTTTCGTAAATATACGAGGAGCTGATGACAGGCCAAAAGGCACAGCCTTGAACTGAAAATTGAGAATTCTTCGCTTTCCTGTCAAAACTGCAAATCTGAGGAACTTCCGGGAGGACTCTGACATCGGAACATGGAGGTAAGCATCTTTTAAGTCTAACTTTGCCATAAATTCCCCTTTTTTCAAGATGTGCGTGACAGACAATATTCTCCATAAGAAACCTCTCATAGGGTATGCAGGCGTTGACCTTTTTTAGGTCCAGGATAGGCCGAAAAGATCCATCTGGTTTTTGTACCAAGAACAGGCGAGAGTACACCCCTTGAAATTCCCATTGTTTTGGTACTTTTTCCTATAACCTCTTTTTGTAAAACAAAAAGCTACTGCCAGGAGAGCCTCCGATTTCTTTTTTGATGGATAGCTTGACAGTAGGAAAGATGGTTGTGGTATTGCAGAGAACTTTATTCTGTAACCCTCTGAAATAGTTCTTAGAATCCATCGGTTGGATGTTATCTTTACACATTCTTGAGCGAAGAACCGAAGGCATCCTACTCTCTTCGCGTCAGAATTTCCTCTTTTTTTTCTTGTCTGTTGAAATCCTGCCTAGACCATTGGCTGCTGGATTCATTCTGTTTTTGAAATCAGCGAGAACGCCCTTGGTAACTAAAGGAATTCCGACCCTTGAACTGATATCTTATACTTTTGGGGTCTTGACTCCAGAGGTAGAGCCTTCTTAGTTTCCGACATCTGTCTGATAAGGTCTTCCAAAGGAGTGCCAAAGAGCTTGTTCCTCTCAAAGGGTAGTTCACATAGAGCTGCCTTGGACAGCTGATTCAGCTTCTATGTTCGTAGCCACAGAGCTCTTCTGGCCACATACGACAAACCCATGATTCTGGCTGATAAACGAAGAATCTCAGCAGAGGCATCCGAAAGAAATTTGTTTGATAATTTTAGGAGGAACATGAGATGGGCAGGGTCGAAATCAGACTTGCCCATGAGGGACTCTTCTGTGCCCTGCAAACCGCTGAACCTGCTATTTCAGCTCTACACTGGTAGCCTGCGGCTTGGAAAATTCTTCTACACTAAGTTTCGGCTCTTTTGTCCATTGGGTCTTTCAGTCCCGAACCCTCACCAATGGGTATAGTGGTCTTGACAGTTGGGCTATCTGAATGTCCACCTTGGGAAGATCCTCCCATTTCTCTTCAGACTGTAGTTTGAAAAGAAGTTTAAAATGTTTTGAAATAAACGCACGCCTTTCAGGATTCTTCCATTCTTTTTTAAGGAGATCCATTATTTTAGGAGGCATAGGGAAACCTTTAACCTTGCCCTTGGTAGGCTCAGCTTCCTGAACAGCTGTAGAGATTACTTTAATAAAAAAAATTTAAGCTCTTCTGGTGGAAAACCCTCTTCCACACTCGAAGCTACGCTGGAAATATAAGGCGGCGAGGAGGAAGAGCATTCTCCTGATGAGATATCAGATAGAGAGCAAGATCTACCTCTCCTACGTTTCTTAACTTGCTTCTCCTACAAGCCGGCTTCTTTACAGCATCTTTAAAAAATTCATGTCTGGGATAAATTTTCCTGGAACCAGCACAGGAAGGAAGACATATCAGTTTGCTTAGTTTTTTCTAGCAATTCCGTAGCGCACTGATTACACATCTTTTTTCAACATCCATCAGGTAAAGGGATCGCACACTCCAGGCAGACAAGCTAAGTGCTTCGATTTATTTGTGGCTTTTTAAGGAACAGAGGCTGACATCTTGTCTTTTTTGCCTTATCCGGTAAAATAGGACTGGACATATCAGTAAAGAAACAACAGACATTGGTATAGGAGCATGCAAAAAAGATAGGTGATGAGAGTTACATCTAACCTCAAACGACCTTAGGAGGAGGGCTGGAGACACGGAGAACCAGGACTGTACACCCACCCTTGGGGCCAGATAGGTTCTGCACATCTTTATATGCACCCAAATTTAAAATTTGGCACCAAAATCGTGAACACCGTTTCGCGCATGTTCAGTAGCGTGATTCAGTGGAACGCAAAACCACCCAGGGGTGCGTTCCCCCGCTGTGCGCATGCGCCTAGCTCCTTGGTGGGAGGTCCGCCCGGAAACTTCCCACAGAAGCCACAAAGACTGATATCCGGTGGCGTTCCGTAAAGCGAATCCCGGAAGTATCACTGCTGCTCAGCTCCCACACGGGGAGCTATCGAGCCTCACCTCCTCGGCCAGCAGCCTGTGCTGACCGCACCATGTCCACCTGGATCCTGGGGGAAAACTTGTCCGTCCCATTAGACGGGTCAAGAAGATCTGGTGCTCTCTTCTGACTGGCAGGTTATATAGAGGCAGCAGGGGGAGCACTTCAATTATCCTAAAAATAAGGGGGAGCTTCTTGTCCCAACTAGAAGGAACATCCCATTATACTATACGAAAGGAAAATACCCCTTTTTAAAGAATACCCCTAGGGCTGGAATCAAAGGAAGTAGATGGACCATCAGACTCAGAGCCGCTAGTGTTGTATTCAGAAGAATTGGTCAAAGTAAATTCTCCTGTTCTTTTTAGATTTACGATATGCATTCCCTGTTTTGAAATCCTTGGAATCTCTCATAAATTTAGTGTTTCCGTGTTTTTATGATTGACTGAAATCAAGCTGTGTTTTGAGTCTGATTTCTAGTTGTCCAAAGTTTGCATCTTCTTTATGAAGCTGGATCTTTTCAACTTCTTCCTCTACTTCTTAATTAACCCACTAGTAGTTTTATTTTTTTAAATCTGCACAGTATATCCATGAATTTACGAGAACAAGTTGCAGCTGCCTCCTCCCATTCAGTAATAAATTATGTCTCTTCAATGTGGGAGGCAGGGATATTCTGTACTCTAATTCCTCTTGGTATCAGATCTTTACTCAGGTATTTTTCCAGGGAGGCAATTTCCCACCCAGTTTTAATTTGTTGTTTAAACAAACATGTGAAATGATTAAAGGCTGAATTTATGTGTGTATGTGTAACTGAATCATTCAGATGTTGCTCAGAGAAGACCGAATCAATGTCTGTGTACCATGCATCTCTGGTGGATTTATCTAATAATAAGCCTGCCATATTTATATTGCACTGTGTTGGTGTGAGGGTACTAAAACCTGAAACAACTAAGTATACCGATGTTCAGTTTGAAATGATCTGTACTCGCCAGGAATCCTCCTGTGAACCTAGAGCACCAGAGGAATACTCCAGTAGTGTCTCAGGGCTTAACCCCTATGTGTATATAGAATTGGAATGAAACAAAAAAAAAAAAAAAAACTTGCTTAGGATGACCCTTCAACATGTGAATAAGACAATAATTCCACCATCCATTTGGTTTTAAAAGAAATATTTTTAATTTATTAGATTCCCCGCGAAGGGAATGGACAGACATTTTCAAACCATGTGTTCTCCCATGCCCAATAAATCCCTTTTCCTCCCTAGATGGCTTATGAAGCAGATGAATATATTGATTTAACAAGAAACGAGAGCCATGAATGCAAAGTGGTCTCATAATCTGACAATGATACGCGTTCTTTCAAATCCCACCTCCTGCTCAGAGGGAGGAAAAGGACCAATTGGAAACATTATTCATCGCATTGTCCCAGAGGAAGCCACAAACCCATTGTATGAGGAAGTTCTTCGAGTGCTGACGTGATCATACAATCCTTACTTGGGCGGTCTGTAGGCAATTTTCCTAGACTTGAGTACACTCCATCGATGTCTCTTCATGTAGTACAATACGGGGATCAGAATTGAGGAGATCAACAGCACCTGGGAGAGAAAGCGGGACATACACCTTAATGGGGGGCTCTTATTGGGCATCAAGCGTAACACCCACCATAATCACATGACCAGAAAACACGGCTAAACCCCTTTCTAACCAGATAAGAAATATTAATGATCCTTGGCATAAACAGTCATATTTACATTTGGAGTCTGCATTCCCAAAAATACCAACCTTACAATGCCAATATACTATATAGTCATCATACAAGTCCTATTTGTCTAGTAACACAAACATTTAAAAAAAAAAAAAAAAAAGCATTATTATTAGTATTTTATCAGTCTAGTATTTTTTTTTTTTTTAGATATTTATTAGTTTGTGCTAAAATTAAGTATGTGACAGATCCCTTTAAGTAGAGAAACGGTTGACAGACTCACTTTGAGGCCCATGAGCTTGCGATGATCATGTTCGGGTTCCGCTGCCCACCTCAGGAATGTGCAGACATCCTTAGCAACCTGAGACATGGTGGCTGGTGTTCCTAGAATCAAACAGAGGCGTCAATAAACCCATTTACAACAGGGCAGGAGAGAGGGCACTAAATGAACGAGGATAGGAAATACCAGCTAGATTAAAACAGACCTCTCCAATAATGTATTTTTCCAGTCTTACATGTAATTTACTAAAATGAGAATGGTTGCAAATTCAAAGTGAAAGTTCATAAGAAAATAAATGTTTATCTTCCTGCAGATACAGAGGGCCTGAAGGGCTGGGTTATAACTATTTCTCCTCTGGATACATGGAGCTCTACATCAACTTTACTTACCGTCATCATATTCCAGGACCTCGTTATAAATGGGTGGTGCCATTCCAATGGCCTGGCCTACAAAGTAGGGATTGTAATGAAGTTCTTCCCTCAATGCAACCCCAGCTGGAGGATCACAGTATCCAGTGAGAAGAGAGAATACATAGTCCTCCCCGCCGTGCCTAGAACACAGATACATTCCTAGTCAGACATGCAGATAACCAGCATCAGACCAATAACCCAGCATATCAGAAATTACATACTGCCACCTAGTGATTGTGATATAACCTACAGTCCAAATAAGACATGGCTTCAGGGAACCTTAATTAAAAGTTTTAAACATACATTCTAACAGGGTTTATCACTAGAGAGAGAATTCAATGTGAACAAAAGAAGTTTAACCGGAAGCAGAGTAAGACAATTTCTCCAGTTCAGCTATTTTGATCTTAAAATGTGAAACTAAATCCTCAGTTTACTAAATCAACCTGTTCGTATTTAGGATGAAATCTCGTTCAAGTTGCAAGTGTACAACATCTGGGGATCTCCCGTTTGCCCTCCTTTGATTGCTGTACCCAGGAGATAAAGTAGAATACAAACCTGGGGTGCTGTAAAATGCACCATTAAGATTATATATATATAAAAAATAATTAACGGACACATAATTTGGCAGAAGCACAGCATTGTGCAGATATTCCTCCTTCCAAACACTATTCACTAAAATAAGAATTGCAGGGAATTCAAAGTGACTTTCAAATTTAAGGTCAAAATAGCATAACCAGAAAACTTCTCCCAGTCAGATATGCTTACAGTTCGATTACTTTGGTCTTTAATTTGAAACGGATTTCACTTCTCATTTTAATGACTAAATTTGTATCGAGCAGATAGAGCATGGGGGAATGACATCACTTCAACCTGTTCTTTACCCAGTAAACATCTCTGCAGCATTGACTGGAGCGAGGGATTAAGGGAAAGGTCAGCAACTTAACATGAAAAACATAATTGGATTCTAAACATTACAATTATAAAGGTAGATAAAGCAGTTTGATTTACCTGGCGTTGACAATGTAGCTGAGATCGGGGGGCAGCGCACCGTTGTTTGCAGCTCTGGCTGCCTCAGGATTTGGATACGGCTTTGGGAAGTAGTCCGACAACTTTCCTGGACGAGTGAACATCTCCCCATTATCATCTGGACCATCCAGAATCTCAAACTGAAAGACAAGGGAGGATTTAACAGCGGGAAGCCACTCGTTTTACATCAGGTTGCAGTTACTACAAAGTGCTCATACAGCTTTTCTGGGGAGAACTGGAGAAAACCCACGGATTAATAATATATTTCTGAAACATTGCTTCCTAAAACTAGCTGCATATTTTGTGGGGACAGCGTTTACCGGTTTAGTAAGTTCTATGAAAAATGCTCTTCATACGTAGAAAGTGAACAAATATACAGACTATGTGCTGTGTCATTTAAAGGTGATTTTTCTTTTTAAAGGGACAATGTAGGCCCTGTAAGTGCTAGATGTCATTGGTTGCAGTGACTTGAATCCCCTGGCGTTGCCCTTCCACTCAGCTTTAAACCGTTTAATGCTAAACTAGTCTCCAGCCTCCTTCACTTCCTGCTGCTTGAGCCAATTAGGAAGACTGAGCAGCAGAGGGCTGCTGTAATTGGCTGAGAGTGTCAGCTGACCACTATATGCCCATCACAGCCATTCCTACAGTAGAGGGCGTTGGTGAGCAGAGGGCTCCTATCCTTGGTGTTATTTTTCCAGCATGGTATAAATGTCAGGTCATGGGTAAGGCTGTCTTACCATCTGTATTGATCTGTGGACATCACACTATTTTTCCCCCCCCAATTGCAAAGCACTGTGGAATATGTTAGCGCTTAATAAAAGCCAATAAAAACATTTACACTGAATGGACTGTGCCAGGTGACTCCAGGTGCAATAATTAATTCAGTGACATGAAAGGGTTTACCTACAGTGTCCCCTTAAGGTCTATGACACGCATTGCATGAAGACGACACTCTAGGAGAAACTGCAATTAAATTACAAAACAAGTCGCTGGCACACTAAGCAAAGAGATTAAAGTTTTCATCACGGCTCCGCACACAGGAGAACTGCACTAAGCTGCAAAAAGCAGGATCAAGAGTGGAAAATGAATATTTAAACTGTAAATGAAATTCCAAGGGGGCGGGGGGAGGGGGAGTTGTACAGTGTAGTTGGGGATCGAACCAATCCACGGTGAGGAAGAAGAGATCATTCCGCTGGTTGGATAGTATGACTTACCTCCTCAGCCAGGGCCTTGGCCTCCGCCTCTGTGTGTGATACTCCGACCAGATTTCTGAATGCCAGATACTCCATACTGTGGCACGAAGCACACACCTGTTTGTACACCTGATAGCCACGGCGGACACTGAGGGAGAGGAAATCGCAATTAGCTCCTGCACGTTCTACCTGGTATATTTAAATATCCCCTGTAAGTGGATAATGCAGCCTATATAAAGAGAGGAAGTACTCCCGGCTGGTTCTTGTCAATACACACACACACAAAGAGCAACACGTAGTAAAATGAATATAAAGACAAGCAATGGTGGTGAGCCTGGTACAAGGCAGACACTCCTGCAGTAAGCAGAGGGGAAGGGCTTGCACATGGCGCTCTTGCTCTAAGAGAAGGTGGAGTCACTGGTCCAAACTGTTCTTTGCAAGGGGCGGAAGCGCATGGTGTTCCTATCATGTTCGTGTGAGGGGCTGTCTCTGCAGAGACATTGCTAAATTAATCAGAGGTGTTAACTAGTGTATTACAACACTAAGGTGGGAGTACCAAGCTAAACACCAATCTAAAAAGAGGGTTTTGGTAAAAGTCCCCAAGCTAAGGATGAGCAGTCCTGAAAGCCAACCATCTCTACATTTAAAGGGACAGTACATACTGGAGGAAAGTTGGAAAAAACATGACATTCCTGATCTATAAAAAATTAAAACCAAATTTTGATACTCCTAAATATAACCCTCATTTGCCACAAATAAGAATCTTCTGTAGAAAAGAAGAAGCTGTTTATTAGCGGATTCTAATCTCCACCGAGAATCCTAACCAATGAACCAAGCAATGGTTTATGGGACATATGGTTTAGCAATCACAAGTAGTTAACTCATGCGAAAGGATTAATAAAAGCAAACGACAAGATACAATAATAAATTCTAAAAGTATCGCCAAGTAAGTTTATTCAACTCCTGAACACTTATAAATAAAGCCACTGGAGAGACATTGTACAGGTTCACTGTAGCAGAGTGCTACATAATGTTAGAAATGCAATAAAGGATTCAATACAGACCATATTATGATTTGCTATAGCAGTATAGGACTTTTAGAATCCATTAGAATCCATTGCAAATACCATGATAATTACTGCGAGTGGTCCCTGAACCATTGTACAAGCCAAGTGAGAACAACACTCGCACCTCTACTGCACTCTGCTAAATTATACCAGAAGGAACACCATGGAAGCAGTAAGCAGGCACAAAGACAAAAAGGGAATTGTGGGCACACCCCAAAAAGGAATGGTGCTGCCGTAGAGACCAAACAGTATACAAAATACAGATTAAGGAACAGAGTAGTTTTACTTTTTATAAGACAATCTAAAGTCATCTCTGCAAACAAATATGGGTTTTCAGTTCCCCCATATAGCCATATTGTGTTAAAGGGACACTATAGTCACCAAAATAACGTTAGTTCGATGAAGCAGTGTTGGTGTATAGATCATGCCCCTGCAGTCTCACTGCTCAATTTTGGGCCATTAAGGAGTAAAATCACTGTTTATGCAGCACTAAATCACATCTCCCTGTATGTGACTTACACAGCCTTCCTAAACACTTCCTGAAAAAAATAAGTTATCTAATGTTTACAATATCTTTATTGGAAATTCTGTTTAATTTAGAATTTCTCGGTTAATAGCTTGTTAGACCCCACAGGAGCTTCCTGTGTGTGATAAAGTTCAATTTACAGAGAAGGAGATAAAAACCTTTAAAGTTAGTAACATCTGATTGAAAATAAAACCATTTGTTTTCATGCAGGTTGATAGTTACAGCCAGGGGAGGTGTGGCTAGGGCTGCATGGACACAAAAGTGATTTGACTCCTACGTGGCAGAGAACGGAGCAGTGAGACTGTAGGGGCATGATCTATACACCAAAACCGTTTCATTAAGCTAAAGTTGTTTAGGTGACTATAGTGTCCATTTAACACAATATGGCCATATGGTGGTACTGAAACCCCACATTTGATTTTTAGTAGTATTATAGTATCCCTTTAAGGCAGCCCACCAATACTTCACACTACCCCAATATCGGTGGGCTCTAGACTAATTTTAACATGGGAAACATTAGTGATAAATAAGTTAAAGTGTATTTTAATAATCTGTTATAAGAGCATTGTGAAAAAATATAATGCACAATTAAAGTGAAATAATTCAAGAACATGTAGTGTCAAAATTAAACCATTAAAGTGATCGTGCTTTTATGTATATACTGACACTGCATATCATATCTGTTCTATTCCAAAAAGAATTCTAATTAAAGTGACGTTAATATTCTAAACCACCTCTTTTTGCAATATATATATATATATATTCACAATGCTCTTACAACAGATTATTAGAATACACTTTAGCTTATTTAGCACTAGCACTATTTAATTTGTCTTCCATGTTGGAATTAATGTAGGACCCACAGATATTGGGGTACTATGAAGTAGTTGTGGGCTGGATACAATATAACCATATGGTGGAACTGACTCCCTATATTTGTTTGCTGCGATAAGTGATTTTAAGCAGTCTACTAAAATGTAAAAACTGTATTTTTATGTGTGCGCTGTTCCTTAATCTGTATTACGAAGACACACATTGACCGGATTTACAGACCCCTAGAGAGATACAGTACCTGGTGTGATCCAGAGAGGAGAGAAAACCATTGTGGCTCCAAGGGTAATTTGGAGGATGCAGCTCTAATTCGCTTGCTTTGACTGATTGATGGAGTGCAAAAGCCAAGCCAGATCCACCAGCGACGAGGACACCGAGTGTGGAGAGCGCCAACTTCCTGCCAGAGGACATGCTGGAAAACGACATGTTTGCCTAAAAGGAAAGCCATTGACAGCTGTAATTGTGCGAAAAGCAACAATTCTGGGACAAGTGAACCACATGGTTAAATTTGATCATTTTGAGGGAAATCTCTGGGACTTGCAGTCAATTTAGTCAGATTTACGCGGTCCGCTCGTTCACCCTTCGTGGCCCTTCCTAAGGCCAGCAAAAAAACCTTACAGGCCTTCAGGTCCAGAGATTTGGGATTAATACTTCTATATTCCCCATTTTCAGTTAAAGTGACACTCCACCCATCGAGTACTGCTATGTGTCAGAAGCATCTCCTCTTAATTGACATTTATAAAAGGCTGACTTAAATTTGAATTTTTAAAACTAATTTCATATTATGTCCAGCAGCCACGTGGGTATTTGTGAAATTAGTTTTCTTCCCATTTGTGAACAGACGAGCTAAGCTAGAGCGCCCTGCCTTCCCTCCGGGATTACTTTTAAACTTCATAATGAGCCGCATGACTGGGGGCTTACAAAGGCTGCAGACAACAGTTCAGCAGCATTTGCAAGCCGTTTCGATATATTCCCAATAAATGTAGGCATGCTTTCAATTCGGATAGATTTACGAAATTGTTAAAAACATTGGAATGTTCTTTTAATGTTCTTATGTGTGAGACCTACAATGGACTTTTCCAAGGCACAGACAAAACGGGCGAAGGGAGACAGGCGCAGTGTGAGCGTGCGCTATGCAATGGGAGACAGGCGCGCTGCGCTATACAGAGGGAGCCAGGCGCAGTGTGAGCGCGTTATACAGAGGGAGCCAGGCTCAGTGTGCGCGTTATACAGAGGGAGCCAGGCTCAGTGTGCGCGTTATACAGAGGGAGCCAGGCTCAGTGTGCGCGTTATACAGAGGGAGCCAGGCTCAGTGTGCGCGTTATACAGAGGGAGACAGGCTCACTGTGAGCGTTATACAGAGGGGGACAGGCTCACTGTGAGCGTTATACAGAGGGAGACAGGCTCACTGTGAGCGTTATACAGAGGGAGACAGGCTCACTGTGAGCGTTATACAGAGGGAGACAGGCTCACTGTGAGCGTTATACAGAGGGAGACAGGCTCACTGTGAGCGTTATACAGAGGGAGCCAGGCTCACTGTGAGCGTTATACA